GCAACATTTGCAGGACATTCTTTTAAAGACCTGCAGATTTTTTTTTTTATCTCACTTTAATCCCAGAATGTATTATTAATGTCCCAATATGATTGCAGTTTATTCTCTTTTTGATCTCGAGTCAGTCCCAGTTTGGTTTAATAAGACTGTTGGAGACATTTGCAACTCAGAAATGTTCATATGTGTCATTGCAGCCTGACTGAACTCTGCTTGTGCCTGAACGAGCAGCAGCTCATCTTCAGGGTTTGACACTAAGAGACTTTTTTTTTGAGTAAACGACTTTTAAAACGGTACTTTCGGGACTCTACAGATTATTTTGTTGTCCACCTTTTTGTTACCACCTTGGCAGCTAATCCCAAATGTCTGATTTAATCTGCTAGAGCGCACTTTAGAAACGAACACAGGCAGATGTGGATCAGTTGTTTTTTTTTTATATATATAGTTTTTCTCATTATTGGCGTGATTTTTAGACTTGGGCATGTTTTCTGTGAGAGGTGGTGGTCCAATACAGCTCCTGTGCTTTGCAAATGTTTTAGAGGTGCCCAGGTGTCTACTTTGATAGGAAAACTTGTTGCACAACTTTTTTAATTCGTTCAAAACACACGAGATAAGACGGCACACATCTGTGACTCGTGTAGGAAAGTTGAGACCCACCGTGAACGTCACAAGATGTTCTGATGACGCCCTCATGGACGCCGTTTGTCGCAGATCAGAGTTCCTACATATTTCAAAACCCATCCATCCATCCATCCATCCATCCATCCATCCATCCATCCATCCACTTTTCGTGTCACTGTTGTCTATATTCAGCAGTCACTGTGCAAGAGGTGGGGGACACCTGGACAGGCCTCCAGTCCATCACAGAGACAAACGAGACAACCAACCCTTCACTCTCTCACTCACACCTAGGGACAATTTAGAGTTACCAATCAGTCTAACATGCATGTTTTTGGTCTGTGGGAGGAAACCGGAGTATCCAGAGAAAACCCACACATACACAGAAAGAACATACAAACTCCACCCAGAAAGGTCCCGGGCTGGGATTTGAACCAGTGACGTACTCGCTGAGAGGCAACAGCTCTACCGACAGAGTCCATGTCAAAACCCTCACTAAGTCGAGGGTTTAATCCATACAGCACGGATTGTTTATCTAAAATATTACAGTATTTAAATTTAAATTGTAGAGAAGAGAAGCGCAGCAGGACAGCAAAGGGTTAACCCTTCACGCAGCTAATGCAGCACGGAGCAGAAATCTACTTCTTGATCAATTACACTGTGACAACTGAACATAAAAGTTCTAAAATCATAAAAAATAACTTTTGACACTTTTATATTGTGTGATTATGATAATTTTACGATGTGACATACTTTTAATTTTAAGTTGGAAGACAAAAGTCGATTGGTGCAGCTGGACAGCGAAGGGTTAACCCTTCACAAAGCCGCTGCAGCTGGAGAAGAAATGTGGGCGTGGCAGAGAGGCGCAGGTGGCAGAGAGGAGATCATGACAGGCTGCAGGAGGGAGCTGCTCCCTACACCTGTGGGCTGCACAAAGGTGCAGCAGGTGCCAAACCATTTAAAATAATTTATTTTAAGTAAACAATCCATACCAGTCATGTGTCTCATCCATTAATCAGCCAATTGTGTGTCATGTCCACTCTTATTTTGAAAAACCACGAAAGAGCGAGATCGCGAAAGTCGAACCGTGAAGCAGTGAGGGACTACTGTAAACCTTTGTGTTTGGTGTGAGATATTGACGTAGAGGAGTTGCACTGTGGAGAAGAACAGAAGGTTTTTTTTCTTGTCCAAGGCAACACATAGTGAAAGATCTTGGAGAACGGAGAAAGCCATTTTATCCATGACAAGATGCAATGGAGGAGGCAGGGGGTGGCTAAAGGTGGCCTTGGACATTACAGATTAACCTTTGACCGCTCCAATCATTTGAGGAAACTACTTCTAAGCAATATAAAAACTAGAAAGCATTGTTTCCTCAAAGTACAAGTGGATGGTTTGCATTTAAATATTGTGGTGGCCATCTTGGAATTTGATTTGGCCATCCAATGTTTGATAGTGATCTTTCTTAAAATTTTAGAATTGCGCCGCTCAAGGTGGCAGCACGTTGGAGCAGCTCTGTTACGTTCATTCTGAGATTTTGCTTTTGGAAACTTTAATTCCTCTTTTTCTGGATGTAAATCACATTGTATGGACGATTGTTTCCTCTGGTATCGGATGCTGTGCAGCTGGAAGGGTTTTTACTGAAACATTTTTAGTTTTGGACATTTGTTATGATGCGTAACCATGGCAACAAGGCAGTTTTCTACTACCAACAGCAGCTGATCAACATCTCAAAAGCTCAAATATTATCTCAACTACAGCCCCAAATCACAAAGGATGTTCTGTGGACGCATTCTCATCTACCTGCCAGCTGTACTCGAGTGCCTGACCACTGAGATCCTGGAACTAGCAGGAGGCACGGCTCATAACAGCGGAAGGACAGGATTGTCACCTACAGTTGGCTGTCCGCAGTGATGAGGAGCTCAGCAGGCTGCTGGGAGGAGTGGCCATCGCTCTGGGAGGAGTTCTGCTCGGCATTCGGGCGGTCCTACAGCCAGGGGGAACTGAGAGGCCAGTCGAGTCTAGGTGGACGGATCGGACGGCATCTGCAGCCAGTTTCTTAGGATCCACTGTGGGATGGACCTTTACAAGAGATCCTTCCTGCCTACAGCCATCAGTATCTATAACTTCTCTTAATGAAATGAGGATAACGAGTTACAACAACAACTAATTTCCCTTTGGAATTAATAAAGTATTTTTGAATTGAATTTGAATTGAATTGAATTACATGCAGCCTCACACCAAAATAGAAGTCGGCGCGCTGCTTACTTTTCAAATTACAAAGCTCACAAGATGGACAGACATATTTGGGGGCAGCCATCTTGGATTTTGATATTTCAACCCATTTCATGAAAGGAACTGTTTTTACACCGGATGTGGCCGCACATGAACATGGAAATCAACACCTCGTTTATTTTTCACGTGATGCTCACAACGTACGGACGAACGGACCGTGGATATTTCCATTTCCGCTCTTTGCTCCGTGACAAAAACTGCCTGAATCTGCTTATTTTCACTTCAGAACAGTACTCCGGTAGTTTAAATCTTAAATGTTGATGCGGTTTAACTTTGGTTCACTGTTTGCTGACTAATATTATGCTGATTTTGTCTCTGTTACTGTATTTTAATGCAGAGCTCTGGTAAAAATGGACAAAAGTTGTTTTAAGCTGCCATTAGGTTCCTCTGATTATTTTGAATGAACTCAACACCCTGTGCTCGTTTCTACGGCGTAATTGGTTCCTCTGCAAACGTCCGAGATAAACAGAATCCCACTCTGCATTACAGCTCATGAAGCAGAACCTCCAATAAAGCTGACTTTGGTTTTATTCTGAATTACTTTGCCCTAGTTGACCCAGCTTTGTGCGATTCCTGTTCCCAGATTAAATCGAATGAGTCAGACACGACCACGGACATTTCTGGATGACGTCGTGTAAAATTATTGTTCTTGCAGTGGAACTATTTTCTGACTAGTTAGACCTGTGCATGTTAACACCTTAAAGTCACATCAGCTGTTAACAGCCAGTCAGGACAGCCAGCTGCTAAAAAAATAAGCTAAAAACAATAATAATAAAAAAAAAAAACTGAAGATAAAATGTAAATAAAAACACAACGTAATGGTTTTCAAATCTCACACACTCGTTTTATTCGCAGCTGAACATAATAATTAAAATGAATGTTGAAACCCAACAAATGACCCTTTTCCTTAAAAAAAGTTTTTGTTTTACCTTTTTGCATTTTGTGGCTACAAAACCTTTTTAAGAAGTTGTTCCAGGAGCAACAAAAGACTGCGGTACAGATGAGAAACACCCGGAGGAGCATTCAGAAATAAATTAGATTAACTGGTGACAGGTCCGTCCGAGGACGGAGTATAAAGACACACGTTGAGTTTGAGAGAGGCCAAATCTCTTAGAAGTAAACATGGGCAGAGGTTCACCAGTCTACGATAAACTGGGTTTAATAATTGTGTAGGAATTTCACAATAAAGTTCCTTCATACAAGAAATGTCCAGTTCATAATCTCATCAACAGATTAGAAGAATCAGTACCAATTTATAACCAGGCTCCCCTTATAGATGGCTAATAAATAGTTTTTAGATATGTTATTAATTCCTCTATGAATACTTTATACATCATTAACTGCTTATTATACATTAATTAAGAGTGACAGAGACAAAACTGAGCAGTTTCTTGCCAAATAGTGAGACAAATCTGTTCACCTTTATATTTCATCTAGAGTTATATTAAACATTTCAGACTAAGTTACTACCTTGTAAGCACAATAAGCATTTTTAAACCTATTTATTTAGCATGTAATATTGTAATTTATCACTGCATTATAAGTGACAGCTAACGTTATACCCTAAAAATATTAGGTTTACAAATGCTTATTGTGCTTACAAGGTAGTAACTTAGTCTGAAATGTTTAATGTAACTCTAGATGAAATATATAGGTGAACAGATTTAATTCACTATTTGTCAAGAAACTGCTCAGTTTTGTCTCTGTCACTGTTAATTAATGCATAATAAACAATTATTAGTTGAAATATTTGCTTTATTATGTTCCATAGTGACAAAACTTTGAATAAATTTAAGGTTTTTGTGAATAATTTCATCCAGTTTTTATTTACTTTTTACACAACGTCTGAACATTTTTAGAACTTGGCTTGTAATAAACAGAGCAGCGCTCTCCTTGTGTTGACGTTTTGTTTTTTTAATGCATTGATTGTGATATTGTGCCATGAAAACGTTTGACACAATTTACGAGACGAGATTTTTAAAGTCTAACATCTGGTTTTGCCATCGTGGAAACCAAAAAAAAATGGTTTCCGCCTCTCTTTGTGCTGATTGTCAGTAAGTTTGAGTCCTGATTGCGTTCTCTGGTTTTTGCAGGTCATTCTGATGCTGACCAAACTCTTCGACTTCAACCTGAACAGCGTGACTGAGAGTTCATTATGGAGGTAAGCTGATGACATCATTTCCTGCAGCGCCACTGATTCTCACACCATAAATTGGTCAGTGGAGAGCGTTGACGGGAACCGTTGTGCGATCTGAGCCGAGCTTTTAGGAACAAAGTTTCACTTCATAATGAGGTTTAATGAAACGCTCTCTGAATCTGCGTTAATGTCTGACGGCAGCCAGGTGTCTCATGCTCACAGGAAGTCATCGGAGCTGGGGGCGTTGCCCTGCAGAGGACCAGTTCTGTTCGAGTCTGTGTCTCCTCATGGATGAAGCTGCGGGACATTAGAACAGACTGATACGGTTAAACTGACATTCTGCCGAACCTATTAGGTGTGTCTGTTAGCAAAATATCTCATGAACCACTGGGAATGAAACTCAAAGTAAGCCGTTAATTCTGCTCTGAGTTCTGACCTGACGTTAGAACAAACTGTTGGATTAAAGAAGACATTTTGTATCAAAATGGGTGGCACGGTGGCGCAGTAAGTAGAGCTGCCACCTCTCTGCGAGATGGTCATCGGTTCAGATCCTGGCCAGGTACATGTCTGGGTGGAGTTTGCATGTTCTCTCCGTGCTGCATGGGTTTTCTCCACGTACTCCAGTTTCCTCCCACTGACCAAAAACATGCATGCTAGACTGATTGGTAACTCTAAATTGCCCCAAGGTGTGAAAGAGAGGGTGTGAATAGTTGTTTGATGATGGATGGATGGATGGATGGATGGATGGATGGATGGATGGATGGATGGATGGATGGATGGATGGATGGATGGATGGATGGATGGATGGACGGATGGGGTCCAGTCCTAGTCCAATTTAACCAATTAAATGCACCTGTCATGAAAATAAATCTTGATTTGGCTTCTATTTTCAAACCATTAAATCAGAAAAGACATTTAATATTTATAACAATGAATTATTAACTTCAACACTAAACGGGTGTAAACTAACTGTGGCCAGAAAGATGTTTTAGCAACAGAATTTGCTCGTTGATAAATAAAAGCATAGATAAATCTTTTGTCCTGTGCTTCTTGAGCTGTTTTAAAGAACTTGACCTGAATTTGAAGCTAAAAAAAAAAATGTCACAAACTGAACTTAAATAAATGTTAATGAGGTAAATAATCCTTAAATCACTGAGTGGTTTAAGAGCGTGACCAACAGCGATTTGTGAAAATAGTTTTCGAGTTGACACTTTCTCTGTGTTGGACCATGGACGAGATGTTTAGATCACGTATTGTCCCGAACTGAATCTGGAAGATGTCTCATGTTTGTTCCAGGTTATTTCTCAACGTGTGTAAGAAAAGTATCTCAGGAGTTTCTCTTTGGTCCTGGTCCTCCGAGGCAGCTCGAGGCGCTGACTCTCACGCTGAGACAGTTTTATGAGAGCACTTGTCTCACGAGACGCCTCCGTGCACCACCCGGGCTATAAATCTGAGACAGCAGAGGCCGGGCTAATGGACGGGCCTTTGAAGGCGTTTGTGGAGAAGCCTGAGAGGAAGACGGATGACTGAACGGATGATTCCTGTTTTAACAGAAGGGACGAGTCTGATGAGTCCTCAGGACATCAGTGGACGGCAAAGACGAAGGACAGATCTGTGTCCCTCTGCTGGGACACACTCAGGCTACACTTGGCACGGTTCATGAGACAACAACTTCAGGGTTTATTCTTAAAACGTGTCACACGTGCTTCAGTTGGTCAACATGTTGGTCAACTTCATCACCCAACGACAAAAACACAAAGGCAGATGATTATTTTAAAATTCTTGATGTTTCTACAGTATATATTCTATAGAAACTTGCAGAACGTTATGGTTAGATGACAAAGTTCATGCTCAATCATCCAGGTACCAAATCCAATAATTCTCATTCGGGTCATCTGGACAGTTTTTGTTTTATAGAGACGTTATGGTTAGTTGTTGGATGTAGAAGGTTTGGAGTAAACTCTCGTCCTCGTGGCTGCCGACTGATCTGAGAAAAACACAAAAATTACTCCAACTCCACCAGTTTCACAGATACGGACCTGAAGCTTGGTGTGGTAGTAGCTGAGACTGATCTGCAACTCGTACCCTGAGAGTCTGTTTAAAACTTATTGGAAAACAAAACAAAAATCTGTTTGAGCAGCTGAAGTGGCGCAGCTGAAAACCATAAAACTGACTGACTCTGTTTGTTTCAGGATAACACTAACAATAAGGGTGATTAGCTGTGGCGGCCATCTTGACTTTTGTTGACAGTCTCTTGTCGATGTGCAGTCAGTCGTCAATTCTGATAGTTTCAATATAATCCATCCAGTGGTCCATGAGATTTTTTTTTAACAAACAGCTAGTCAAACCCACAAACACATCTGTCATGACAGTATGAGGTTAAACTGGTTTTGATGCTGAACAGAAAATTTTATTCTCTTCTTTTTTTTTTTAGCTTAATCCAATGAGTCCTGCATTTAATCACGTCTGCTCCACCTCAGTCCAGAGATGGTGTTATCATGTAGTTCATGTACAGTGCTGCAGGTAACATACTAATTGCCGAGAACTCCGCAGAACCGCTCTTTAAAAGCTCTGAACTGTCCCTTTAACCTGCAGTTGAAGCCTCGTCTTTTGTTCTGCGGTTTGAGCTAATGAAAAGTGAAACGTTTGTTTCAGTGAGCGGGTCGAGGACAGAGGATGGACACCGAGACACGAGCACCAGCTCATCTCTGTTCCTTCACGGTCGGCGTGGCTGCGGCCGCTGAACGAGACGGGCAGCAGGATGATGGAGGGGCACTGTGGGGTGGAGGGAGGAGCTTCAGTCCAGGTTGTCTGGAAGCAGCAGCTGGGGTCTTCTCAGATCATCCGTCTAAAAGTCGAACCACGATTAATCAAACTCCCCACAGACGACGTAAACTCTGTCCAGCAGCTGCCTCTAGTCGACTTTCTAATAAGCTTTTCAATAAGTGGCTGTAGACGGAGTTTTGATCCGTTTCAGGGAGGGGGTGGGGGGCGGCTGAGGGTTGGTAAAAGTTTTACAATCCTAAATATTTGAATGGAGGATCCATTCGTGATTGAGGCGTGTTGCTGTGAATCAGCTGATATTCTCTTGCCCTTGGACGTTTCCTCGACTTATCCACCTGCAGCCGCTGCAGATCTCGCACCTGAGCTGTATTTGACAGCAGGGGACGGCCTTCCCGAGGCCGGCGACCCAACAGGCGGGCTTCCGTAGAATTACAGTCCTTGAGGAACGATCATTTTTCACTTACTGCAGCTTTTATCTTGCTGAGATGTCCTGCGTCCCGCCCCGTTTACTGCTCAGAGTTCAAAGTTACCGAGCTCTAAATCAGGTTATTCTGTGACACGAGCCGATCAATACCCGGATGATGTCATTGCTCCATGAAGCTGGACTTTGATGGTTTATGATCGATGAGGCCAGATTCATCCATCAGACAAAAATATGTTCTTCACACGGAAACGGCTCCAAAGGACGATTTAAAAGAAATGCAGACAGAGACCATTTGATGTTATTTTGTAAATATATTTTTTTATTCAGTTACAGAAGGTTGTGAAGTATAAAAGTCTGAAATTTGTCATCGGTCTCAACCCGAGCCGTCGGCTGAGTTTAACGGTGTGATTGAAGGGAAAAGCATCAGTTGATGTGAGTGATTGCTTTGTTTGAAGTTACACGAGGCGTTCACCGGTGTCTTCGCTTCATTTTTAGGATTTGCATAAATTGGGCTTTTTTTTTTTTTAAACTTTTCTTTGTGTGAAATGAGAATATCTCCTTGGTTGAGCTTCAAGCCTCTGAAAACAAATTAAACCTGACAGCTCAGACAAGTTGCTAAAACCTCAAGAAACATCTCCAGATGTTAAAATCCACGATTGGATTCTGCTTTAGCGCTTTGACCAACAGGAATATTTTACAACACCTGACCATGTTTTACTGAGTTTAAACTGATTTATGATTTCAGAAACAAAATAAAGTGACCCTGAAACATGAAAAAAGACAAACAAGTACCATTTAATCAGTGTCATGGCACATGAAGCTGGAAGAATAACTGAAACTTAAAGCAAGACGCTGACCAGGCAACACAAAACTTAATAAATACTCAAAATTTTCTGAAGACGCAAGAGGAACATCAGGAGGACCAGATGTGGCATGAGAGCACACAATGCTCCACTGAGGAATGAGTGAGAACAAACAGAATACGGCAGTCCCTCGCTACTTTACCGTTGGTTTATCGTGGACTCGCTCTATCGCGGTTTTTCAAAATACGATTGGACATGACACACAATTGGCTGATTGACGGATGAGCTGCACGATCGGCATGGAATTTTTATTTTAAATAAATTATCTCACATTATGTATTATTAACCTTTATTTAACCAGGCAAATCTCATTATCACAGATCTCTTTTGCAAATGAAGTCTGGGCCTGAAGGCAGTCTAACATGCATGTTTTTGGTCTGTGGAAGGAAACCGGAGTACACGGAGAAAACCCACGCAAGCACAAGAAGAACATGCAAACTCCACACAGAAAGACCCCAAGTCCAACCGGGAACTGAGCCCAGGACCTTCTTGCTGTGAGGCAACAGTGCTAACCACTGACCCATCGTGCTGCCATTTAGTACCTGCTGCATCTTTGTGCAGCCCATAGCTGCAGAATAAGCGTCCTCCTCCGCCTTTGTGTAGCCTATGCTGCAATATAAACTTCCTGCTGCAGCTGATCAGCTGTCCTCTGTGCAGAGCATAGAAGTGGGCGTGGCCAAGAGCACGTGCTGGTCAAAGCTGACTGAATGAGAAGAACATAATAATCAACAGGTAAAATAAATCAAACGCCAAAGACCATCAGAAATAAACCAAAAACACAGAAGCTGCAACAGAATGAGATATTTCTAAGTCGACATGTTAGAAGAATTCCCTTTGAGTTGAACACTGCCCCATGATTCTGTCTGGTGAAATTTTCATTAAAAATGTCTCCTCCATTTTAAATGATTGAGTTTAAACAAACTTGTCAGGCACTAGGACCATGCCAGGCAGGCCGTGCTGTGCAGGCTGCTAACCTCACGTTTCTGTAGCTACGTGCTGAGATGAAGATTCTCTGTTGAGCATTTTTAAAAACAGAACAAACTTAATATTGAGTTCACACGGAGATTTACTTGCTGTGGAGCTGAGGAAATCAAATCGGAACCCATTACGATCTGTTGGAGTCAGTCGAGGTGAAATAAATTTGACTATGAGTGTGTTTTACCATTTTTAGCTGTTTGAGTTTTCATTGAAGGGGTTTGGAGTTGTTTTACAGTTTCAAAGGTT